CCATAGGTTCAACTGGGAAACTGTGAGCATCCTAGACCAAGCTAAATCCAGAAATGCTAGGAAATTCCTGGAAGCTTGGCACTCAGGCACATCAGCCATTGGTAGACACGTAGAGATAAATCACATTTACACACCATTCAAAAGAGGCAATAAAAACACTAAGAAGGAAGCAAAAAGACCAGAACACATTCTCTCTGGCAGCCAACACCCAGATAAGCAGGGATCAACACCAGGCAAACAATCAAGCAGAAAACAATAGCCTAATCAAGGAACTACCAAGGAGAAAACCACACCCCCACCAACACTGGCAGGGCAAGCTACTGTATATAAATAGAGAGCAAACCCACACTCACTCGCACTGATGATGTTACCTAGTCGGGTGATGAAACGTCTGCAAGCAAAACAGCCAAGCTCAGAGAGCACCCGGGACTCCACAGTTTCATAAAATGTCTGCCCTTGCTACCATCTTCTCACTAAGGCAGAATATCAGTAGAGGAGAAGATATAGGTAACTTAATTAGTAACAGACTCAAAGAGAGATGGAAATAAATTTTGATTATGCTTCTTGGATGCATATATCTGCTTATGGTTGCAAGAGAAGTGATAGAAATATGTGCATCCTTTTGTTTCCTTCCAACCTGCTCTCATCCACCGTTTTTACATCAGTGACCTGAATGAAGTTTGGATTTAGTCAAAGTCTTGGGTACACCAGGTTTGCACATCAGAGGAATATTAATGTGGGATTTCACAAACACTTTCTCTCTCACAGCTATTCAGAGATTCCTCTGAGCTCTCTTAGATGCTGACCCAGCTTGCTGCAGATAGATTTTGCTATTCCCCACTCACAGTGCTTCCCATTGCTTTCCTACTACCAATATTAAATGCTGTAATATAGATTTGATTTTCTGTCCAAATGACTTCCCAGCTGCCTGGCGCTGCTCCCTCTGCAGTACATCTGGCTTGAAAACTAATGCGCAGCCCTCAACATCATCTGATGACTGATCCTGGAACAACACAGGATCATATTCAAATGATGCTGCCTCTCCCAGAGCTTAAGGGGAAAAAAGTCCACTTTCATGTACAAGCATTAACTCTACAAGTGCCAAACAAAACAGTGCAAATGCCAAAAATACGGCTAGCCCAGTGTGCAGAGTGTTCAGAAGCGCGCTGCATCTTTCCTGAGTTTTGAGCTTCCATGTATGATTGCTCTTTGCGCATTCTGTCCATTTTAATGAGGAACGCTTGGTTAGCTAAGAATGTCAGCTGTTCAGCGCATTGATCTCTGCAGACTGCAAGACGATAAACTGACTAGCATCTTTATTTGCTGCATTCATAAGAAAACATTGAACCGGGGGGCAGCTGCCGCGCTGTCTGAGATGAAGTTACTAAGCCAATTATACTATTGTTTGCTTCCTTCAAGACGCTTGAGCAGGGATAATCAGCCTGCATTCATCACTATGCACCTGCCAAAGAAAATGTCTAAAAAGCAATACTGAAATTAACTCATACGCTGTGAAGTTGTTATCCTATTGTCTATACTTTAAACTGATGTAGAGGCGAGGATCTGGCTATCCATGGTGGGTCAGGGGAGGAAATGGGCATTTTAAAATGTGCTATTATTGGTGGCAGTTTACAGAAATGCGTATAGGATATAACCATCAATGGCAGAAGAGGAAAAGGAATGATAAAAGACATAGCTAATGGAAAAAGTTGCATGTACACATATAAACTATGCAGCACAATAAATCTCTTTAAATTCTTAAACAGCTTTAAATTTGGAGATATCGCAGGACCTAAATGATTTAATGGCATAACTAACAAATACATTTTAGGTATCTATAAATCTGTTTGATTGGTAATGCTTTGAAGTTGGGAAGGAAGACTTTCATGTACTGTAATGCTATTTTCAGTCTTATACCCAATATTGCCTTACGAACAGGGTTGGTGTATGTTTCCATTGAATGATCATCTCCACGCACACGGTCATCAGCAGTTGTTTGAGATATTTATGGAGTAAATCCTGATTAGATTTTCCAAAAACGCTTAGCAAAATTACTTTCTCCTATAACATTATTCTTTCTCTAATTGCTTTGATTACAACTCACAAATCATGCAGGTTAGGACAGGGCATTTTCATGTGTGTAAATTAAAGCCTGTAGTATCAAAATGTTGGAGAAAGTGAAGAGTTAAAAGCTCATTTGCACACATGTAGTAATGCTGTGCATTTAGATTCTTGTTTCTGAATCTAAAAAAGGTTTTTCAGATTCAGTCATTTCCCTCTCACCAAGGCAGCTCTGGGCGGCGAACAAGTTTAAAAACAACAAAATAGAGAACAATAAAACATACATGTGGGAATGCAAACATAGCATATGTCTGTTCCATGCTCCGAAACATTTTTTTTGAAATGTGATTTGGAATCAAATTAGAAGCACAGCTTAATTTGACTGTGTTATATTCCAGCAGTGGAATAGGAGTTGTACTTGTAGGAGCAATTTATTTAGCATAATGTTATTCTTCAAAATAAAGGCAAACATTGCCTGGATACCCTTAGTTTTTAGGTAATGCATTACATTTGCTTGCCATTCAAAACCGATTGAGCTCCTTAAGCTACAGCATTTCTCAGGTCTCGTGTTCTTTTCCACATGTCTGCACATGAAAGCCAACACTTATCAGCTGGCATTCTGCTTCCCTTGGAAAAAGGAAAAAATGAGCTATTGATCTTACTTGTAGGCTTGCAGCCTTCATTTTGTTGTTTTGGTTTATGTTGGACAGCTCCTTGGTTCTTAAGTTCTTATGAACTATAATTTTCTCCAAAGATCAAATGTTGTAGAAAAAAACGACCATGGCACTTTTAGGCACTTGGAAGCATATTGATATTTGCTATAACAAGGTTCTGAAAGATCTCCATATTGGTATGCAGAACTTTATTCCAGATTCCAGAAGAATTGCATTTGCTTTAGGTTCTCCGATTTAAAGGGGTTGCAGAAGGTCAGGAATATCTACTTATCCACTGAGAAAGGAAATAAACATCACTTTAAAAACAAAATAATTGTGTTTGGAATTAAGTAGTAGGAAGGTCATTTTTAACTGCCTGAGTAATTCCACAACGAAATAGATTTCTGATACTGTTCCAGAGATTTTGCACTGAACAAGCCCAGTGATCCATTATCTGCTTTTAAGCGGAAGCTACTCAATATCTTTCGGGACAAGAGTTACGCTTGATGGTCGTGAGTCTGTGTCTGCTCTAGCTCTGTATTCTTACTCTTTGCGTATAGGCACTGAATTTATCTCCAAATGTTTCTTTTGTGTGGTGGCTGTCTTGCAGATGCTCAAATGAGACCAGACTCAAAACGGAAGACATCTTTTGGGCTTATAACTTCTGCCCAACCCCGTATTCATGGACCGCGCTGCTGGGACTTGTTTTGTATCTAGTTTTCTTTGCACCAGGTAAACAAATTTGGCAAGCTTACTTTCCTGACTAAAAGAGATTGGCTGTTATCAACTGGGAGAAACTCTCAATCTGGTATAAGTCTTTAGATGCCTGCGTTTTTACTTTGGTGTGAAAATAACATTGGCTGAACTGGTTGCCCTGCATTTATTTGAATATGCTATCTCCTTGCCCATCTAACCTTGCTGTTTTATAGGGTGATGAAGGAGATACTGCTTTCAAATAATGGGTATAATCAGTTCCAGGATGGATAGAAAACAATAAATGAATGAAGAAAAACAGCATGTACACTTCCCCATGGATTGAGAATCTTCCTTTGAACACAACAGTAGACATTCGTGATATCCATTAATATTCTTTTGTTTTAATAAAGATTTTGGTTAGTTTTTTTAATCCAACATTGCAAAATCTACCTTTCTTTTCTCCAGGCTTGTTTATTCAAATAATCCAAAAACAAACAAACAAACAACATCTGTATCTCCTTTTCTCAGAGCTTCTCTCAAATATTACTTTTTATTCTTGTTGCTAAAATAACAGTTCAGTATGCTGTTGGTGTGCAGGGGAAAATGTTAGAATGTGGAGAAGAGTTAGTTCATGAGAATCAACAGTTTAAACTGTAGTCGTATACAGGTAGTCTTTGCTTACCGACTGCTCATTCAGTGACTGTTCAAAGTTATGATGGCGCTGAAGGAGATTTATGACAGGTCCTCAAACTTGCAGCTGTTGCAGTGTCTCCACAGTCACGTGATCGTGATTTGGATGCTTGGCAACTGGTGCACATTTACAAGGGTTGCAGCATCCTGCAGTCATGTGATCGTCATTTGCGACCTTCACAGCTAGCTTCTGGTAAGCACAGTCATTGAGGAAGCAAGCAGGAAGTCACAGATGTGTGATGTTGCACTTTGCAACCACATGTGATTCACTTCACAAAAACAGCCAGAACTGACGTCATAAGTTGGGCGCAGTCACATGATATTTCACTTTATGACACTGTTGCTTAGCAATGGAGTTGCAGGTCCCAATTGTGATTGGTAAGTGAGGACTACCTGTATGGAGTAACGATTAGAATTCCCACAGTATTCCCATTTGTTAAAAACAAATAAATAGGAACATAAATAGATCTTCTACCCGCCTCTTTTAAAAAGCGCTAGACAGTATAACCTTGGCAATAAATTCAAGTTTGGTCCAATGTTAAAGGTGTGGCATTTGTACTGCTCTGGCAATAGAGCTAGTGATAATACATTATATTAGGATTAATATTTTTCATGTCATTATTTTGATTGAAGACAAATATTGTTCAGAGCATCTTCCACCATTGTTAATCATTTCTTACTTTCCATCTTTGTAGATCATTATGAATATTCAGTTAAAGTTAATTACTTATTGGTTATTTTCAATTACATGTAAAAGGAATGGGACCAATGCCTTGGACGGTAAATTCTGAAATTTATCCCCTTTGGGCAAGAAGTACAGGAAATGCATGTTCTTCTGGTGTGAACTGGATTTTCAATGTTCTGGTGTCACTGACGTTTCTGCATACAGCTGAATATCTGACCTATTATGGTAAGAAATGTTTTTTCTGTCTTAAACAATACCCAGAACAATTTAATTTCAGATAGCTGGAGCTTCAGTTTTTCATTTTCAGTTATTTTGCTTGGCAACCTAATTTCTCACCTTGAAAGGTGAAGGGGAGAGGAGCTATAGATCAAATAAGTGTTGTGCAAGGCTTGAGGTCTGGAAGGAGAAGGGTTGCTCAGGGCATATGTGGCCACTAACATTACGCCTCTCAGCAGTTCCTTAAACCAAATGTGTGTTTTCCCAGGATCATGCTGCAGGCACAGAAAGCAGCTGCTGCACAGTTTGAGGAAAAGATGCAGTGGCTTTCAGGAGTGCTCTCAAGTGTTTCTGCATTATTGTTTTTAGAAGTTCCTAAGTAGGGAAGACGGTATTCCATTTTTTAACTGTCTGCTTTGCATGCATGATAGCTTGCTTTTACCTAAATACGTTGCCATGACTTCAGGTTGACCCATCAGTTAAGGACCACACAAAGGTGGGCCCAAAAGAGGATAATGCCATTGGGAGAAAGCAGCTTCCCTTTAAGGCAGCCGCATCAGTGACACAGTTGAAATATAAGAGTGAATCTCTCCAGGGAAGAGTCTCAGTTGGGAGGTGTGGTAGCCCATGAAGTCCGAAAAGGGTCAACCTTACAGAGAACCTAGGGCATCTTCTCTTTGTAGCCCTCTCATGTTTTCCCCTTTCTACTTTTTTGCCTAGAGGTGGGCATTAAGGAAGAAAATGTGGAATGGCATCCTACTGTTTGACTGGTAGGGCTAGGACAGTGTTGTCCAAACTTGGCCACTTTAAGATGAGTGGACTTCAACTCCCAGAATTCTGGGTGGGGGTTCTCCCCCATGCTGGCTGGGGAATTCTGGGAGTTGAAGTCCACTCATCTTAAAGTGGCCAAGTTTGGACAACACTGTCCTAGCCCTACCAGTCAAACAGTAGGATGCCATTCCACATTTTCTTCCTTAATGCCCACCTCT